ATTTTGTTGACCTTTATTCAGAAAGGTTTTTACATTTCATTCATATTATTTATTCTCATTATTTATTTCAATAAATCATTTCAAAGTTTACATCACAAACAAATTCTTCATTTATTCTTGATTTGGGTCTGTACTCAGGTTCTCAATCAAGGTCACACAGTAAGTCAACATATTGGATTTATCTCTATGAGATTTATCCGGATTATGATATTGGATATCAAAACATATTTTATTTTGGCCCAAGTCCCAACAACAATTTATTTTTAATCAAAACAAATTTATTTAATTGAATATTTAATTCAATAAATATTAGGGTATGTTTTGGGGCGTTACAGTCCCTCTTCTTGATCTTCTGATGTCGACTGTGATCCTCGAAGAACATTGTGAGGCAATCTAAACTTTATCGCAAACTAGTCTATGAGGATACTAGCAACTCAAAGGAAGCAAATTTTCAATGAGTTAAGTACGTGTGTTATGCCATAGTAACTTACTTGTTGATTACCTTCCCGGGGCAGAGATGTCGAGGAGGATGCAGATGCAGGACTTTGAAAATACTGACTCAATGATCCGAAAATCGTTTTGCTCTGATACCAAAATGTAACACCCCAATCCGTATAACCCAGAATTACACGAATTAAGGTGAAACGAGAGTAAAATAAAAATTTCGCTTGACATTTGAAAATGACAATTACTTATAAATATCAAATTTACAGACTCTGGATCGCGACCCATTTAAAAATATTTTCAGAGTAATACGGAAGTACAATAATAAACAAATCATGACACATTTAAAAATCTGATGATCAACATTTGCCTGCCATCCTTGCATCTCCTCTGACTCAATGCCCTCCGGGAGTGGTTCCATCATTGTCTTCTTGTTACCTACGTGTAGTCAACGAAAAATACAAACTACACGCTCAGCGAAACCGCTGAGTGGTACCACACTAGAATTGTAGAATGATTCTCAGACATATACATATACATATATATACGTCCACAAAATGTATAGTAACATTCATGATATGACACATATTATCATATGGTCAATTTGATGAATCATGATGATAAATATTTAATGATAATTACTTGATGGCATATTTAATCAATATAATTATTCTTGATGATGATTACATGACACCTATGTAATCAATATAATTGTTCTTGATGATGATTACATGACACCTATGTAATCAATGTACTTGATGATGATAACATAATTTCACATTTAATCAATTTGATTGTTCTTGATGATGATTACATGACACCTATGTAATCAATGTACTTGATGATGATAACATGATTTCACATTTAATCAATTTGATTGTTCTTGATGATGGTAACATGATGCATGATCCTATAACTTGCAAGGACACCCTTGCGCTATGAGATTCGCCCATTTGGTACGACGAACTCACGCGGCCATAGTCTCACGAATGAGGTGAGACTAGAAAAATAGGGGTGGTACTCGAAACCTGAATACCATGTACGTACACTAAGCCCGGAACGGGTGATGTCGGACTAGTAAGTCCCGCACATCACGCTATAAGAGACGCAATTACGCATGATCTCTTACACATGCATATGATATGATATGCTACAATATGTGTGATGAAATGAATGATATGGCATGAACAATTTGTAAACAATATGAATATATAATCATGCATTAGTTTATTTGGATGAAACATGATTAAAATATCATTTAATTAATCTACGGGGCTCGGAACGGTCGACCGTTTGGCGCGACGGTCGACCTTGGTCTTCATCAGGTCGGATTGGCGGATCACTGTGACGGTCGACCGCGGTTGACCGGCGGTCGACCGTTGTTGACTGGAGGTGGACGGCGGCACTTGGCTGGACAGGCGACGGTCGACCGTTGGCCACCGGCGGTCGACCGTTTGTCTGACAATCGGGGTCCATTTCGATGTTTAACGCGACGGTCGACCGTTTGCGTTGACCGTTTGGGTCTGCGAATCTTTCTCTTGATATTTTGAGTGTCCAAAATACTTCTTTAAGTCTTTTAAGCACCTTTGATTAACATATACATATTGTTGGGTTGATTTCCTTTCAAATATAAATGAATACACATATAATTGAAATACCTAAACCACATAAAATTAGAGTTGTATATCTATTGAATATATACGTAGTGTAATATATTTTGGAATGGTTTTAACATATGGAATAACATATATGTTCATGTATGTATGTGATGAATGATTCGACAAGTCTAACGCAAGGGTACAGACCTGGAAATCATCGGCCGAAACCTTACGGATGAGCGGGAGTGGAAACAACATCGAAATTTGCCAACTTTGTCATTTCCGTCACAACTGGACAGCCTGCGGTAATTTGGGCATATCTCCATCGTTTCTTCACGAAATTGCAAACCGTTTGATTCTGTGGATTCCTAAGATGTAAGGCTACAACTTTCGTATAGAAAGTATTTCGTTTTAACATATGTAAGATAGCGTAAATCGGACCTGAAGTCAATAGAAAGTTGCTGTCCAGAATTTTGGGTATGTCGATGAACATGATTCCGACGATTAACTCACTAACATCAACATTCCAACGCCGAACTTTCTTTGCAATACCTTCCGGATGTTCCTAATAATTGTTAGAGAGTTTATGGTAAGTATTTGGGATGAAATAATATGAATTTTGTTGAAGAAAAACATGCCAACCCGAGGAGCTCGCCACCACTGGCGCAGTCCCGGTATTTTGGCCATATATTCTTCGTTACTTAACGAAATCGCGAGCCGTTTGTTGGGTTGGATTCGTAACGTCCGGGGCTACAACTTTGGTATAATAAACATTTTGATAAAATGAACGGAAAATTTCAGAATTGACTCGCAAGTGGACTGATTGTCTTATGCTCAGGATTTGGACACTTGAATGGTTTTCTTGCTCCTTCTTCTTCTTCCTTAACATACTACCACGGAGTTGGAGTTTTCTTTTCTTCTTCTTGTTGCTGCCGACAGAGAGAGGGAGAGATGGAGAGAGGTGGATGGATGATGGTGGAACATGATGATAATAATGATAATAGTGGTTTTGGGAGTATTATATAATTACTTTGGAGTATTGTATTAATGAAGTTAGTGGAGGATTATAATGAGATTGTGGATATCTCCTAGGTTGGCTACGTGATGTTGGGAGGGATTTGGGAAAATAAAGTTTTGGCTTCTTGCCAAAACTGAACAGTTTATTCCAAACGGTATGCGCCTTTTCACCCAAATTGTTCCAAATTGAAAACGGATTGTGTTTTTGGAATCAGACTGTCAAAACTAGAATTTTGATGTAATCGAAATATTTTTCTGAGAACTTTTATTTTTCTCAGTGTTCAGGTTTGTCTCAGTCATAAATCAATTTAATAATATGAATGAGATATAAATATATGGATTAAATCCAAATGATAAATATGGTGTTGTCAAGTGTCAAAAATTAAGATTTCTAATTTTAGGAAATCACTTTTGAATTGAGTTTATTTTATGGGTCAAAGTTACAAATTTTAATATTTAAAATTGTCATAACTTCAAATTTATAAATCAGATTGATTCATAAAATGTACCGTTGGATTCTTCTCTTCGAGACCTATCCATAAAAATAAGTTTTTAACAAAAAGTCATTATTTTGAAAATCTCTTTATTTTTGGTCAAACATACAGATATTTCTTATTGGACAAAAATTACTTTTGTTTTATAATAAATTTTAGGCCATATTTTGTGGCGTTACACAGGGAGGATCGATCATACCTCCTAGATTGATCCAAATGAGTATTTTCTATATGGAGGATCGATTCAAAGTGCTGGATCGATCCCCCGACCTGTCTGATCCGAAAATACTTCTGAAAATGCTATATTTTTCAGCTCTAAAATCCTATTTTTGTTACCAATTGATTATGATCATTGTAAAAATGATTTACCATAATAAAAATGATGTTTTTAACAAATAAAAATGATATGTGATGCATGACGGTAAGTTCGGGTGTTAACACTAGAATCTAGGCCGCTAATTGGTATCGATTGTTATGTTGATTGATGATTATGATGAATGATTATTATGGATTATTTTGAATGAGGAACTTAGTGATTAAAATGATTATGTATGATTGAACCATGAGTAAAATGAATATATTGATAATTATGGAACAATTTGTAATGTTAATGGTATCTAGAAGAACTCTAAGATATACCTATTTAGATATATAATTGATGTCAAGGCTATTTAGAAAACCTCTAGAATATATCACCTATTAGACCAAAACATGAATATTTGGTGATTTGACAAAAATGTAATAACAGAATTCGTAGACCAAATTAGAGGATCACTCATTTGGGAATGCCCCGTTCCGATGTTGGTCAATCGTTATATTGTTGTTGCCTTAACCGACTAAAGTTAAGAGTACAAAATTAATTGCCTTAAACTCATGATAGTTTAAGTGTCTGATTATTATTAACCTTTTTAAGAGTCTCGTTAATGGCCTTAAACTAACCACAGTTTAGGAGTCTTGTTATGGAAATTATGATCTGGCCTTAGACTAAGAATGACTAAGATCATTGTTATGAACTGGCCTTAGACTAAGAATAGCTAAGAGCATTGTTATTATTTGGCCTTAGATTAAGAATAATTTGAGAGCACTATCGAAATAATATCTGAATTGAATAAAATGAGTTGTTCTGAGCTGAACAATATCAAAACTATGAATTTCTGAAATGAACACTGTATGCATGATATCAAATGATTTGATTATGAATTTAGATTCAGTTTATATGGATGTTCGACGCATTGGATATTCTTACTCAGCTTTACCGCTGAGCGTGTAGTGTCTTTTATTTGCTACACGCAGGTAAACAGAAAGAACAATGTGATCTTGGCAGCAGATGGGGCGAGATTGTCAAGATGGATGTGACAAGTTTTGAAATGAATTATGATATATCAATATTAAATTCGCTTCCGCAATATTGTTGAATACTCCGTACTATATATGTTATGAAAAATATTATTGTGATAAATAAAAGTGTTTGAAAAGTTTTAAATTTTACGATTACCAAGTTAATACTTTAGTCCGAAAGGGGTTGCAGACCTGGACGGATTAGGGTGTTACAGGAACACTTGAAGGTCAAAATGAAGAGCTAAGACTTCACTTGTCTTTTTTTCTTCCTATTTTATCCAAAGGGTAAAAATAGGCACGGAAGAATTTATTTATCAACTCACAATAACAAAAGACTTTTGGATATATGGGAAAGGGGTTTGGGCCCCTTGTTTAGGGCAAGGTAATGTTTGGGCAGAAAAGGGCTTTGGTTTGGGCTTTTCGATTAGGATAATGGTTGAATTCAACCCAAAAACGATTATAATATTAAAAAATTAATCCCTTGCCTTGCTTACCCTTTTGTGATATGAGCATAGTTTCCGCTGTCGCATCCCAGGGTATAACACCACTCTACCATTTAAGCTAATAGGATACTAACTATGAGGTGAGCCATATGCCTAATTAGCTAAAAAGGAAGTATGAAGCCTTTTTATGGGACAATACCAAGGGAGTACCAAATATGGTATGAAGCAAAAATTTGGGGCAATGGGACATAGGGAGTGCCATATATTTTAGAACCCTCCCACTATCTAATGCTGAAAAGTAAGCACAAACTATTTCCTTGGACAATAAATGAATGGTGTATTGAAGCATGGCCTACAAACTTCTATTAAATTGATTGCATCTCAATGTCTGGAATGGGACATTTTAGAGCTGTAAACTATCTTGATGCTAAATGATAATATTTGAATCGCTAATAGCACAAGGCCACCTTAACTGCATTAGTATTTGTGGTTTAATTGAGTTCATTACTATTTTTATTTAATCACTATTCATTAAATAAAAGGACTTTCAGGCTATTATGAATCCTGAAGCCCTAGGTTAGCCTAGTTTGTTAGATCTTATCAGTTTGTTATTTAGATCTTATCAGATCAATTTGTTATTTTGATCTTATGAGTTTGTTAGAATTGTTATAAATATCCCAGCTTTTATATTGTTGAGATTGTTAGAATACTAGACCAACACTAGAGGGGGGGGTGAATAGCGTTTGATCAAGAAATCGCAGGAATAAAAATGAATAAGCGAGAAGTAAAGAGAAAAGAACGAGGCACACCGATTTTACCCTCGTTCACCACAACTTGTGGCTAGTCCAGCCTCCCGAGAGACTCTCTCGAGCTACACTACTATCTCGTTATGCTTAACGGTGCTTAACAAACCCGTACAACTTGAGAATTCGAGTCACACGAACCTCAACGTGCTTAAACAACCCTTCCTTCGAACAACAAGAGAAATACCTTCTCTTGTCAAGTGTCTAAGAACACTAAAAACACTCAAGAACAATACTCTCTTTTAGAGTGGATAATGAGTAAACTAAGAACGCTCAAGAACACAACACAGGCTTCACAAAAATGGCTCTCAAAAGCTATGAAAAATAGAAGAATGATTTGCAATGAAAGAGTAGGAGTTGTGAAGTAATGTGTTGTGTAAAACAGACCCAAACACCCCATTTTATAGTAGAAAAATAGGC